AAAGAAAAGCACTATTTCATGGAACGCAATGATTTCGGCATACGCACAAAACGGGCATCTCCGAGAAGCCCAGGAGCTCTTTGAAAAGATGCCAGACAAGAATATGGTATCTTGGAACGCCATGATTACGGGATATACCCAACACGGGCATATGGAGGAGGCCAGGGAAATGTTCCACCGGACGCCATACCGCGACTTAGTCTCGTGGAACGCACTTCTCTCCGGATTCGCTCAATCAGGACTTATCACCGAAGCGAGCAAGCTCTTTGATCGAATCCCCAATCCGGATGTGATCTCCTGGACGACCATGGTAACCGCATTTGCCTCACGGGGGCAACTTGACGAGGCCCGCGACGTGTTCGACCGAATGCCCGTCCGGAACCTCGTCTCCTGGAACGCGATGATCTCGGGCTACTCCCAAAACGCACGCGGCCACGAGGCACTGCAACTCTACCGTACAATGGACGTCGAGGGAGTCCGGCCTAACGAGATCACGTTCGTGGGGGTGGTGGACGCGTGCACGGCCGTAGGCTCGCTGCCTCTCAGCCGTGTGATCCACGCCCACATCGGCGACAGCAGCCTGAGCTGGGACGTTACCGTCGGTAACGCCGTGGTTACCATGTATGCCAAGTGCGGTAGCCTCCACGGCGCGGAGCTCGTCTTCTCGAGCATGGTACGGAAAGATACCATAACTTGGAACGCGATGCTGGCGGCCTACGCCCAGTTCAGCTGCCACGCCGAGGCCGTACACGTCTTCCACGCCATGCACGTGGAGGGCGTGCCCCCCGACCAGGTGACATTTACCATAATGCTGGCGGTCTCCAGCCACTCGGGCGAGTGCAAGACGGGGCTGACGTACTTCTGGTCGGCGCGGTTGGATTTCGGGCTGCCGTACAGGGCAGACCACTACCGGTGCATGGTGGATCTTTTGGGCCGGGCGGGGTATATTCGGGACGCCAAGGACCTCGTCCAGAGCATGCCGTTTGAGCCGGACGTGGTGTCGTGGACGACGGTGCTGGGGGCGTGCCAGAGTGGAGATGGGAATGCCCGGGGTAGTGGAGATCACATCCAAGAGAGAGTGATGGAATTGGATCCGGAAGAGTCGTCGCCATATGTTTTGTTATCGAATCTAAACTCTCAATCTATATAGTTTTATCATTGATTTGATTGAAATAGTATTATCCACCCATGCATGGACGCTGTCTAACTAGTTATGTCCTCACAAATGGAGTGTTGATTATCTGGAATTCACAAATCGTTAACTTAGGTATATGCACAGGAACATACTGTCGAAATTATTGACCCCCTCTCCCATGGCCTATATAGCGATTGGGAAGACTTCGGAAACAAAAGTGAACGATAGCGATTTGCAGGGAAAGAGGGGCGATTCTCTCTCTCTCTCTCTCTCTCTCTCTCTCTCTCTCTCTCTCTCTCTCTCTCTCTCTCTCTCTCCCTCCCCTCCTTCGCGATATGACTCCTCAAGAACAAGGTAAGTTCGTGAAGCTAGATGTAATTCTCGACAGGCAGTGGAGCAGAACGATGAGCATCGGATCGATATCAGGATCGCGCAAGTTCAAGGAGGAAGAATCAACACCAGCAGCAGCAGCAGGAGCTCCAAAGCCTCTCCAGACGATCGATATGTCCAAGCTGGTGATCCGGGAAGTGATCGGCCTCGGCGCGATTGGAAAGGTCCACCGGGGAACATACAACAACGAGGAAGTGGCCATCAAGCTCTTGGATTGCAGCAAGCCGGGGCTGGCCGGGGACGGGATCTCCGACTGGCGGCGCGTTTGCCTCATGCGGGAGCTGCGAATCTGGCGGAAGCTGGATCATCCAAACATCGTCAAGCTCATCGGTGCTTCGCCCGGCGTGGCGGACAAGAACGCTTTCTCCAACGTTTGCTGCCTCGTCTCCGAGTATATGTCCACCGGAAGCTTGCGCGAGTATCTCATGTCGCAGCACAAGAGGCTGAGCTACAAGCTCGTGATCCAGCTGGGAATCGACATAGCCAGGGGGCTCGAGTACCTGCACTCGCGGAAGATCATCCACAGGGATGTCAAGACCAAAAACATCCTGCTCGACTCGGCTCTCCGCGCCAAGATTGGTGACTTTGATTCGGCCAGGATCCTGATGGAGGCCGATCAGGCCATGAGCGGGGAGATTGGAACTTTCGGATACATGGCGCCCGAGGTGATGGACGGGCGGGCATACGATTGCAAGTCGGATGTTTTCAGCTTTGGGATTTGCTTGCTGGAGATCTATAGCTGCGACATGGCGTATGGATTGGTGTGCTTGAGCCTGGCAGACATCACCAAGGGGCTCGTGTATCGGAACTTGCGGCCCAAGATCCCGCGGTCGTGTCCCGGCGAGCTCGCGTACGTGATGAAGCGCTGCTGGAAGAAGAATCCGGATAAGCGGCCCCGCATGAGCGAGGTTGTGAGAATGCTCGAGGCAATCGCGAAAGGTAGGATCTTTGATTCTTCTTTGCTTCGCTTCAAATTTCTTTTTCTTATGGTTTGCTTGGAAGCCTCCAGCTTCGTTGTTCTGTTTGACAAAAATGCTATTTTTTGTCAGGTAATTCGTTGAGCAAAGTGTCTCCCCAGTGCAATCCTTTCCCGGACACCTCCAGTTCGATCTCAAAGTAAACTGCAAGATTCGTTTGGCCTTTGCCGAAGAGATATGGCCGCCACACGCCCAGAGAAGTCAAGTTCCAACTTGAGAGATGGTTGAGATTTTCTAGAGAGCAAACTTAGCAAAAATGTGATTTTCTTCACTAAAAAGGATCTCTTTCTTCTGTATTTCAATGGTTGCCGATGTATACTACCAATAGCAGCTCGTGGTATTCTTGTTGTTACGAAATGGGGGCGCTAGGGTTCCATTCCGCGACTCCAGTTTTGCGAGGCGCTGCTCTCGGCCACTGCGCCAAGCGGCTGCGCCTCTCCTCGAGGAATTTCGCCATGGCGGACGCTGCTCAGCAGGTAACTGGATTTCTTTCGCTAGATTTCTCACCTTTCCTCTTTTTTATTTTTTCTTTGTTTTTCTGTGTGACTTTCAGGCTGTTTCGAGCGATCATGCGGAAGCAAACATATGGCAGGTTGTGAGCGATCACCAGGTGTGTTTTTGTTTTCTCTTCTTAGTTTTTGGGAATTGGAAACGATTTTTTGTTTCTTCGAGTTGTCCAGCGCAAAGCTGTGAAGCTTTCTCACGCAGACGAGGCGCGGACGCTTTTAGCGAACAAGGAAATTGGATTTCTATCAACGATTTCACAGGTTCTTCTAGCCTTGCTGTTTCTTTCTTCTCTCAGTTCATGTAATTTTTTTTTGCAGAAGTACGAAGGATTTCCGGTTCCATCGACCATCGAGTTTGCTTCTGATTCTAATGGTCAACCTCTTCTTGCTGTTAGTTCTCTTTCGCCTCACACAAAGGTATTTTGGTATTGATTTCATTCGTACGAAGCAAATTCGATCGGTCCAGTAGTGACTTTGCAGAACATGGAATGCAATCCAAAATGTTCTCTCCTTGTTGCTAGAGATCCTCTCGATAAATCGGACACCTCCATCACTGTTGTTGGAGAAGCTTCATACGTAAGTTTCCTGATTTTGATTTCGCCTTCAGTACAACGAAGTTTTATGTATGTTGCAGGTATCGGGGGAAGACTGGAAAGAAGCTCGCGAAGTCTACTTGAAGAAATATCCGCACGCGTTCTGGGTAGGATATATTTCAGACGAAAACTGCGAACTGATATGCTCTTGTCATGCGAAGGTGGATTTTGGCGACTTTAAGATCGCAAAGATCAAGCCAAAGACAGTGCGTTTTGTGTCTGGTCTCAAAACTGGCCACGCCGACGTTGAAGGTATTGCCTTCATGTAAAGCATCAGAAAAATTCCAATGTAAGTTCTCTACAGACCTCAGTTCCGACAATTTCCAATCCGCCAAGGTCGATCCTATTTCTCAGTTCTCAACACCGATATCGGTAAGGAAAAGAAATTTTAAGGTAACGCCTCGCTACTTTCGTCAACTATGCAGTCACACATGAACAAAGATCATTCGGCCGACACGCAAGCTATTGTAGAGCACGTTGTTGGAGTCAAGGTAGCTGGAATTTTATTATTGTTTGCTCTCTTACGTTATATCCGATATCAGGTGGATCATGCGTTCATGCTGGACGTTGATTCGCTCGGTTTCTACGTAAAGGCGAGTTCTTTCTTGATTTTGTTTTTCATTTCTCGCTTCCCTGGCTTATTTGGTGCTAGCATTTCAGGCTGCAATTCAAGGAACACCAACAAAATTGCGCATTCCTTTCCCCAGAGCTGCACAAGACCGCAAGTAAGTCCCTAGTAGTTTTGTTTTGAGTAGAAACTTGAGCGAGCTATCTTTTGTTTTTCCTCAGGGATGTGAAGACACTCATAGTCGAAATGCTAAGCGCTGCGAGAGCTACTACTACTGTCTGAAAAAGACCTTGTTAGGGCTTTACAAGCATAGCATGGCGAGAGCTATCACCTCCACTTCGAAATGGGTAACTTGTTCCATTCGTTCGAAGCCTGCTGCCATTGACGTTCCAGGTAAGAAAAATCCAACGCCTGGAATGGCCTGGAGGCGCTCACGAACTAGATTCTTCCATGCAATGCCACCAATCAGTCTCTATGGCTCGAAACTCTCAAAGTCAGCTGGAAGAATAGCTGAAAAACCGGCCGTTCTTCCATCGACAGCAGCAGCAGCTTGGAGTGAGGAAGAGCTGAGAATAGTGGAACAGGATCTAGAAGGAGATGGTCTTCCAGGCAGATGGTCTCAAGAGGTGCCAGACGAGGACGTGAAGGTTCTCACAAAGTTTCGGAGCCGCCACAACTTGGTCCAAGTGCTCGAGATCTCCCGGCGTGCGGACTCCACACTAGCGGGGTCGCGAGTGTTGCTCCTGGACAGGCCGGGCAACATCCACAGCGTCCACTTCTTCTTCAAGGTCCTCACAGGCTCGTACTACGACTCGTTCGCGATGCTGCCGCCTCTAATTCCGCCGGGGCCGATCGCCATCCTGGGTCTCGGCGCTGGAACCGCCGCGAGGATCATCCATCACTTCTGGCCGCGGCTGGAGATCCACGGATGGGAGATGGACGCTTCCGTGGTCGGAGTTGGAAGGCGCTACTTTGGAATGCTGGACTTGGAGAATGGAAAGCCGAGCAACTTAGCAGGCATGGACGAGGACGAGGAAGACAATGACTCGAGTTACTCCAGTGGAGAAGAACTTGGGAAGCTCGTAGTTCATATCGGCGACGCTCTGGCTCGCGACGCGGTCGTGCAAGGTGGCTTTGCGGGGATCATCGTCGACCTCTTCTCGCAAGGCAGAGTTATATCGCCGCTCCAGCGAGCTCGGACATGGCGGGAGCTCGGCGAGAGGCTCAAGCCGGGAGGCAGGATAATGGTGAACTGCGGAGGATCGTGCGTGGAGGCCGAGGATCGCAGGGACGGGGATGCGACCATGAGAGAGACGGTGGCGGCGTTGATGGAGGCGTTTCCTGGCGGGGGAGTGAGCACCCGGACGTTCTTACCGCACGATAACTGCGTCGCCATGACTGGAGCTTTCCCAGATCTCGCGGCGTGGAGGCGAGAGCTGCCGAAGTGCTTGTGGCCTGGAGTTTCCGAGTGGAGGCCAACGAGCTAGCTAGAAAAAATGGTTTTTTTTCTCTAGAAACCAAGATCTCGTTATCAACTTTTCCTTTGGCGTTTGAGCTACCTAGTAGGGTTTTTTCTTGGCCTTTCGTATGGCTTGGCGGAGCGGCGATGAGCGGAAGAAGATGGTGAAGAGAATGTAAGCGTTCCTTCTCTGGATTGTTTTTTATGGGCTTTTCTTCCTTGAGACACGATCGTTCATGGCCCGCAGGATGGGCACGCTGCACAAGCAATTCCACGCGCCAGGCGGCATAAACGAGCTCTTCCAGATCGCGTCCCGCCTCGAGGACGCGGTGTACAAGACCGCCACGGATGAGGCAAGTTTTTACCTCTGATCCATCAAAAAATTCCCCCCTTTTTTTTCAGCAAGACTATCATAGGAAGATAACCGCGGAGCTGGTCGCGAAGAACACGACCAGCGATCGCGCTCAGGTGGCGCCTGGGAGCTCGTCACTCGTGGCTCAGCAGGCTCAACATCAAAACCAAACCATGCAGCAGCAGCAGCAGTTGTTACAAATGAGACAAGCCCAAGCTCAAGTTGCTCAAAGTTCTAGTAACAGCACCATGCAAGCGCAGCAAGTGAGCGTCACGCAAAACCCAGCCGCCATGAGGATGATGCAAGCTCGTCAACAGCAACAACAGCAGCTCTACCGGATGAATCCACAGCAGGGCCTGCAACAGGCCGCGAGCCTTTTGCAGCAGCAGCAGCATCTAACTGGACTCTCCAACCAGCATCAAGCAGCGTCCATGCTGCCGCCGGGTGCTCAATCTTTCCAGCAGCAGCAGCTACAAATGCTTCAACACCAGCAGCAAAGTCTGCCTCTCGGGATGAAAATAAAAGCCGAAACTCCCTCAGGTACGCTCTCTCTTTCTTTATATGACCGCGAGCGAGTTTACTTTGTTTCCTTCACAGCTTCGCTTGATCCAACCATCGACGAGCAAGAGGCGGCATGGAACAAGGTAACCGGTTTTTTATAAACAATCCATGTATGTTTATCTCTTCTATTTCAGCTTCAAATCTTGAAGGACAAGCATTTGCCACACTTCCAACAAGTGTGGGATAAGCTTTGTGTACGGAAACGGGTAAGCTTTTCCTTCCTGTTCTTTTCCAGCTGCTGATACTAACCTCTTTCATGCAGTCACTACCCGCAGATCAGCTACCAAAGCTAGATTATTACATGAACTACATACTCAAGTTCATTAGAGTCTTATCTCTGTCGAGAGACAACCCTCCAAAGAAGTTTGGACTAGAAATGGTGGACAACTGCGAGAAGCAAATTCTCCATACACTGAAAAAAAATCTCCCGCAGCAGCAGCAGCAGCAGCAGCCGCCTGCTACAAATCCGGGGCAAAATGCTGGACCACATGCCATGCACACGTCGAATCAGCAGCAGCAAGCGTCCCAACTCTTCCAGCAGCAGCAGCAACAGCAGCTGAAAATGCTGGAGGATTCAAAGATGGGCATTCGGGGAATGGTGGATGCGAAGCGGCACAGAGCTCGATCAGCTCAGCCGGTTCCATCTCCTCAGACCTTTCAAGCGTCGTCTCCTCACAACGTCAAAGTTGGCTCGCCGGTGACACCACCGCTTATGACTCTTCCACCGATCGAGGAGGACGACTCCGACAGCAAAGCTGCGATCCAGTCGACCGCACCTCCACTCGTACTCTCGCCGGGCATCTCAGCGTCACCTTTCTTGGACTTGTCTGCAAGTCCTGCGCAAGCTGCTGATCCGGCTGGTCCCGATCCTTTGGAGAGGCTTCTCAAGATCGTAAGTCTACTCTTTTCCTTCATTGGTTTCTATCAGCCTACACCGCAGGTGAGAACGATGTCTCCGAAAGCTCTCAGCGCGGGCGCGAGGGAAATGGCATCGATCGTGTATCTGTCCGACAGGCTCGCCGCCACGGGACCGGGTCCTGGATGTACAGCTGCTGTTGGAGAGGATTTGGCAGCCATGACAAACAGCCGGGAACGAGCTAGAGCCTTGGCATCAACTCGAGGGAAGCCAAACTCTAAGCGTCCGCTTGATTCCCTTGCGCTGACAGTAATCTCCCCGGATGGAAGTGTTTCCAACAGCCTCGACGGTGGTGGTGAGGCCGATCTCGAGTCGCCCGAGGTCATATCCGGCTGGAAGCGTCAAAAGCTCGAGGTACAGATGCTCATGTGTCGTTTTCTTCTTTCTACTCGTTTCTGTGCTCCTAGATAAGTTACGTCCTGGAGCAAGAGATCCGCGACACGAATGACCATCTCATCGACACCGTGGTGGATATCAGTGAAGACGGGAGCGAGGAAGCAGCATCCCAAGGCAAGAAAGGACTTGTTCTCACCTTCACTTACATTCCAGACATGGTAGAAACGATCTTTGGCTTCCACCAAGTTTCTTTCTGTCGTGTGCCTGACTGACTATCTCGTAATGGCAGGCCGTTTTGCCACCGCTGCGGGTGTTCGTCCCCCCGACGTATCCAGAAGCTCCGCTGTTTATGTCGGACCATCTCGATCCAAACTCCAAGTAAGTTTTTGTCTCCATCCTCCTCGTACTTATCCCGGTTGTGTTTGATAGCCACTCGCTCTCAGCGGTGGCTAGAGAGGCGCTCACCAGGGCATTGGATTATAGTCGGCCTGTCACCGTCCGAGCCATGGCTAGAGCGTGGGACGAATGCGCTCGAAAGGCCGTCTCGGCAGTTTCTGGCGAGAGCAACCGTGATTCCATCTTGAGCAGCACTGGGACTTGGATAGACTGCGCGGCAACCTGATAGGCTTGAGCATGCAAAACTTTGCGAGGCACTGGCAACGCAAAGTTACACAATCGCCTTCTCCAAAGGTCCACCACCTCGTCCATGGTTGCTTCACGGTCTCGACCTCTACTCGCAAGTTCCAGCAAGCTTGGACATGGCAGAGAAGCCAAGATCTCCGCAATGGTGGCATGGAAGGGAGAAGCATTAATGACGAACATTCTTCCACCAATTCCATCGCCACCATGTCTGGACCTGAAGTATTTTAAGTCTCTGGTTTTTTTAAAGTCCCTGGAATTACATCAGGTAAGTTTTTTGTCGAAGATAGCTGCCAGGGCTTTATAGATCCTGGAGAGTTATTTCCTTCCCCTCCTATCTTAGAAGTTTACATCACTTCTATTCAATGACCATAGAAGTTGCCTCTGCGCAAAAAAGTGGCTCGCGATTTATAGATCCTGGAAAGTCACCTCTGCGCAAGAGTAATTCTCACACTGGTAGCAAAGTTCTCGCTTCCTCATTGTCAAACGAGTTATAATTCCTGGACCCTCAGTCACTATAGGCAGCACCTAACAGTCTTCGTTCTCCCACATTGCTATCTCTTACACCGCGACTGCGCTGCCAGGACAGTGGTCATCACCACCTCCTCCACTTTTTTTTTTCCGTGCTTTTCTTTTGCTCTCGATCGACACAAAAAAGCACTGCAGCACCGCACAGCTCGCCCGTGACAACGCACCTGTCGGCATTTGAAAGTGAGAGGCACGAGAAAGTAAAACAATCCGACAAACACAACAGTACCTCTTGTGCTGCTGCTGTAATCGCCTGTTTGATCTGCTAACTTCTGTGGAAACGAAGGCCGTCCCTGCAAAACCAAAACAGCGAGCCAACCAAACGAGCAAGGCAGGCCTGCGGGATTTACGAGAAAAAGTATCACTGTTGCTACACATGCCATTGCCAATGCCAAGCACACAACAAAGCTCCAAGAATCATAATAACGGGAAAATAGAAAAACAGAAGCAGGAAACCACACTCCAAGATCAAGCCAGACTGAAAAGCCTTGCAAGCTACTGGAGAGATTTTTGTCAAGGTCCTGCAACACTACCTGTTGAGGTAATGGTTTCTCTTTTTTTCACCTCCACACCAGGCTGCTGCTTCTGCCGCAGCGAAGAATCCTGCCCAGCCAGCCACGGTGCTCCGGCAGAATCTGAAATGTATTTGTACATTATATGTACACACACACACACAAACATGTTATAGAGATAAAATAAGCCCAACCGACCTGGAACTCTCTACAGGAAAACCCGTGAGCGCCAAGGCCTTTCCGTCGGGTACTCTTTCCAGCATGCCCGTTTTGGCAGCTCGAATTGATACGCACTCGTCCCCATCCTACAACCAGGCCACAAGATGTAAAGTTAAAGACGGCAGACGAGTTGGAAAGAAAAGAGAGGAGCAAAGACAGAGACTCGCCTTAGTGCTCGCTAGTTCGTAAGCTGGTGAACGCAGCTCGTCTCCAGCAATGGCCTCACGAAAGTCCTCCTCCACCACACCTCGAAAGCTCTGTTGAGGTTCGGACAGTCACCAGCGCTCCTCGAGAAACAGTCGAACCAGCCGAGGAGGATGAACTGCTGCTGCTTGAGCGGGAGCGTAAGGATCGTTTGGCTTATCCCCTCCTCTACGGACTTCTTGTCCAGGCTCTTGCAACACCTTTGCAGCCATCCAAAGTCATCCACCAGCGGCTGGAACCACGTCTGGAGCAGCAAAAACCTCACGTCCTGTGGCACCAAAACTTGGCCTTTGCCGATGGCCATGCACAACCGAGCAGTGATCCGGCTCACATCGTATCTGTAGACGCTTGGAATCCGAGAGTATAAGCTGGCGAGCTCCGCTTGAGAAGCCCAGATCTTGACAAAAGTATCTGCTATCTCCCGATCGATCAAGATATCCACCATCCAGTTGAGATTATCAGCCTGACGAGATATCTGTGCGCCGAGTGTTCCTTCCTTTTCATAGCCGGCCGCATTGGAGCTCTCGATCACCTGTGTGAAGAGCCGACTTAGAGCCTCGAGGCAACTCTCGCAAGCCCGATATATGCAACCCCGGCAAGAGTCCCACGAGTCCTTGGCTACGGAAGGATTCTCGCGAAGCATCCTGGAGACGAGAGTCTTTGTCTCACGCCGGGCCTTCTCGTCGGTTCCCTGAATCACTGACTGCAAGAGCCTGGCAACGATGCTTTCCGTCTCCACCATTTCTATGCTGCTCAGCCTCTTGAGTACCTCCATTGACGCGACGCTGTCCAGTTGGAGCTGAGAGACGAGCGAT